TGCTATTGCTATCACCGCTGCGGTTTGCGAAGCATGTGGTTGTGTTTGATTGTTTGTCCTTCGCAATAGTGAGCAGAAGGATCAAGGGTTTGAGTGAAATGAGGCTGTCCGGAAAAACCGACCAGGCGGGTGTGTTGACAGTGGTTGAGATCAGACAAACACATGGTGTCCTGCAAGATGCCTCGGCTCACATGCTAGCCCTGTACGGCCGTTGCACTCAGACGTAGCGCGTGTAGCTCAAGTGATTTGTGACTGCGATCATTCCGGTGGTTTTCTGGATATCTGCACAGGCTGGCGCCAAACCAGCAGCCCGGCAGCTGAGCCTTCGTCGCACGACGTGGGTTGTTGCGAGGCAGAGGCAATACCTGCAGCAGCGGCTCACATGTATTCTCCATAGCCCGGAGTCTACGCCTAGCCTTCGTCAGATGTGGCAAGCGACTGGCAGATTGCTTTACGCTTATGTTGGCAGACGCAGAAGGAAATCGTGTGTGCCGGATGGTTCTCCTAGCAAGCCCGCTGTCTGCGTGCGCCGGCAAGCACGGTTGCGATTGACGACTGCGAGGGCCTGGTGGCCATGCGGGTGGGCGCGCCGGAGACCACCCTCCTAGGGTCTGCGGTGTGTAGATTCCGACGCTTGTGTGTGAAGTTGTTCCGTCGTTTCCTGAAAGCGCTTTCAGCAAGGAACCATAGGTTAAGGGGCTGATCTTGAGCAGATTCCTGTGGACTAGAGGCAATTTACGACAAGGAGTTCCTGTTCGCCGTTGGCTCTTGCGGTGCTTTGCAGGCAGCCAAGCCAACTTGAGCAGGGCTTCTCCCCTTTTGAAGTAACTTGTTGTTTGTTGTGTTGCGGGATGCGAAGGCGAAGCGCTGTGTTGCCCTCAGGATAACTACGTGTGGTTTGGTTTGATTGTTTGTCCTTTGCAACACATTCTTCCATAGCTTGCCGCCATGGCCAGCTTGATTGGCAGCAAAGCTCACTTGCTCAGCATGCTGGAGAGTGCGGCACAGATGCATCTGCCATAGGTATGGCCAGCAGGCCAGCGTGAAAACGGTTTCGCGCAAATGTCATCCCTGACGCAAACATAGGAAGTGTGTCTCGAACGCCTCTGGTTTGAATCAACTGCCTCAAGCGCCTGCATGGACGAACTCACAGATGCGTCAGCAACGTCAGTTCCGTCCTTGACTGTCAATCGATCCGAGTGAGTAACTTCGTGCGCGCGGCCAAACATTTTTCAAGGTTGACGAACTTGCAAACGTTGCTAGGCCGCAGCTGACAGGCGAGGTCCAAAACGCAACGGCCGGGTTCCAGCGGTCCCTCGGAAACCGCTCCAGACAGTTTCTGCTTCAGTGCTGCCATCTTTGCGTCACGTTCGGCAGGCGCGACCTTGCAATTTGCAGCCGCGCCAGGAGCGGTCGCTTGCTCTCTCAAACGCCGTGGAGTGGTACTTGCCTTTGCTGATTGACTGGTGAGCCATGAAACGGTGCGTTTCTCGGTTCCCATGCGCTCGCGAATAGAATTGAGCTCAGGCTCTAGTCTGCCGAGCACTTTCATCTTGGAATTCTTTGCAGGTGCAGCCAGAGTAAGTGCATGCCTGCGAATGTTGGCTGCGTTGTAAAGCGCAACGGTGCGCGTGTAGTCCGTGCTGACCTTACTCGTGCAACTCAACTTCGCGGCCGGTGGCCGAAAAACTTACAGGCATCAGCCTTTGCGGGCTGCGAGCGCCAACCAGTTGTCTGAGTTCTTGATCGACGCAGCGTGGCATGTTTTTTTGTGTGTCGTAAGTCTTGGTTTTGGTTCACCACATTCTTCCAGAGTGCAGGGTCTGCCTTTCGACTTGTGCTTCGCAGTTCATCATGCTTGCTTGTGCGGGAGTGCGCGATCAAGCCTAACGACTTTAGCCCAAAACCACACTGTGTGGCAGCTGATCAACAAGCTTTGCGCAGGAGAGGGCGTGGATTCACATACTGGTTCAGGGGTTCCCGCGGTTTGCTGGAAGCCCTTTCCCATGGCCTGCTACGCCTTGTGTAAGCGCAGCTGGAATGCCCCACGCCAACTCACGGGTACTCATGCGTGCAGTCAGCCTGAAGCCTCAAAATTGCCCCTTGATTCTCGAGGGATGTTGCGCACGCGCCCATTGTGGCCATTCTGCCGAACGAACGCTTGAAGGCGGTTTCCGTGCCCCTGCTAAGTCGCAATTGCTAAGACACATGTCTGTGGGATCATATGCGGTATAAATTTTGAGTCGTGATGCGTTGCTCATGTCTGACCCAAATCAGTCTTGCATGAATGGTTCTTTGCTCACGAGTGAGCCGTGAGTGCGTGGGGCATCCCGTGGTCGTCAGAAGAATTGCCCACAGCATGGTTGATTGGTTTAAGCGCTGGACCAGCCGTGCTAAGGAGCTGCAAGCGCTCGAGCAAGAACGGAAACAGCGCATGGAAGGCAATCTCAGGGCCATAGTTGCCCCGAAATTGGTTTTGACGAGTTTATAACCTTTGCAGCCGAGGGTGAAGCCCGAACAATAGAATTTGCGGTCTCCTAATTTTTGAGCTGCTTGGATGGCGTTTCGCCGACTCGGGAGACAAGTCGACCCCCGTTTGACACTGTCTTCGCGGCTCTTGGCAAAAGGCGCAGCGAGTTCGCGAAGCTCCTATGAGCTTTTCGGGGGATGCAGTTTGCCAGTGGCCAAATGTTTGTGCGCCGCAAGCCATAACTAGGCAGGCCTACGAGGACCAAGGTGGCTGGGTGTCGCAGGACGCGCAGCCTTTGCTTGGACAAGTTGTCTGGCCGAGAAGTGTGGGGCGGAGCGCATGGAACCTGGATCGTGCTAACTGATGCTGGCCCGGTGGTATAGGAGGTATCCTGGCCAGCCCGGCAGGAACACCCGTTAGTGTGTTCTCCCTCGGCCTTGATTGCAGAATTTTTCAGGGCTGCAATCTCACCTTAATATGAGCTATTGGCTATGGAAATCGTGGCTTGGCTTTAGGGAGAGTTTATGACAAACAGGGCTTGCGTGTTTTACATTGGCAACAACTCGGTCAGGAATGTAGCCATTTCTGCGTGTGCTCAAAATCAAGTTGAACGTTGTTTTGTTGGATTTCTGTTCGTGCCGTGGTGCGGAAGGGTCCCCCCACCGACAAGTCTGGCTGGCGCGCGTTGCTGCAGCGATTGACTGACTCCCGAGCCGTTGCTGCGCTTGCAGATGTGTTGATGGCCGCCAAGCGGTTATGAGGGGTAGAAAGCGGTAGAACTTCCGGATCTTCGCTGTGTGCCTCTCGGCATGTGCCGCAAAAAGTAATTCTGGCAGCGCGCGCCTTCTTCTTGGGAGTGGTGAGTGCTCGGTACGCCGCGTCAACGGGCCAGATGTCGCCCCCCGTTCAATTCAGGTTTTGTTGCCTTGCCAGATGCCTGATATTTGCCCATCATCCTGCAGAAAAAGCGCAAGTGACGCGTGGCTTCTTGGGAGTCGGGCTCATGGTTGCTTCTATTGGCACGAGGCTTTATAAACTGCGTCGGAAAATGCAAATCGCACGATGGCGCGGGGTCCGGAGTTCGGCTGGGCAGCGCGAACAGTTTACAGGGAAGGGGGTTGGTCTGATGCAGCTCAGAGAACCTCGCAGGCAGAGAGAACACCAAACCCGGCGCGCGGAGGCGAGCCGCGGACTCTACAGCCCCACGCAGTTGCGACAGACTAGGGCTTCAGGGGAAACATCCCACTCGCGCGCCAAACTCCGAAACAGCGGGTTTGACGCCTGGCGCTGTCTGCGCAGCTGTGCGCGAACACCGGCCGAAGCGCGCAGTTCGACGCAATGCGTGAGACATTGCTAACGATGATTGGGGAGAGCTCCAGGAAAGTGACATAGCCCCCAGGGCTATGGTCCGCAGGAACACCCTTGTAAATCGATTGGAACACCCTTGTAAATCGATTCGTCCTATGCGAGCACTGAATCTCGCAGCGGCTGCTTAAGTGTAAGCAAGCCAGCTCAGGGATGGAGGCAAGATCGCGTAAGAAGGACCCGACCACAACACCAGACTGCGACACAACTGGACTTACTTAAGGCAGTGCCCAGCGCCTACATTTGAAAACTGGTCACACGCACGCAGGCACGCACGCGCGCGCACGCAGCGTGCGTGCGTGCGCGTCCGCCCACCCACCCCCGCCAACCCCTCCCACCTACCCGCCCACACAAACTAGAGCTAAGATCTTACCCGCCAGCTTGCGACCCCCAAGCTGCATCAACTTGGCCACTTCTGTAGCTTTTTCTTTTTGTTGTATGTGGTGCAGCTGCATTTGGCGCAGGTGGTTTTCACTTCCAAACGCGGGCAGCTTGAAGAAGCCTTCTTCTAGAATCTGGAGACTGTTGTGCTGCAAGCCGACGCAGCCATACAGACAAGTGATGATGGTGTTGTTGCTCCTGCTGATGATGAGGATGCGGGTGAGGACAACGATGGTTATGATGATGATGACGATGCGCTGGGGTGCTGATGATGATGAGGAGGAGAAGGAGGAGGACGATGATGTGGACGATGAGGATGCGGATGGCGGTCAATTTTTAGTACGAACAATTTCCGTGAGTGAGTGATGCTCAGTGGTGCAAATGGTGCAAATGGTGCCAATTGCGCAGGAGGTGCAGGCGATGCAAGCGTTGAATTGGTGGCAGCGATGCTGATAATGTTGGTGATGTTGGGAATGACTAGCGTTGCTGGAGTTTATTCTGAATCTCCTTGTTCAGTTGATGGCGCTACAATGGCACGGCAGGCGAAGCTTCCAACGAGTGGGGAGCGCTCGTGCGCCCAGAAACCAGACTTGGGTAAAAACATCTGTACATCTCATGGAATCTGGATGGCAACACCTGCGCAACTGTGAATTTGTGAGCGCCTAGTGATGCGATGGCTTGATGCCGGTGATGCACCAACGATGCTTATCATGTGGCAAGACTCAGACTGCTTCGAGGTTTTAAGTGTAGAAGAAGGACCGGTTTCATGTAAGCGCGCCCTGAGGGCTCTTCGACTTTCTGGAGCGGAGCGTGCCGGTTCTGTTGGCCTTCATCCTCACGCAACTTGAAAGGAAATGGCGGAATCCGTTCAGCGTGGAGCCTCGTTCATTCTTTTTGACAACCGTCCGGTCCCGGATCCGGTGTTTTTTTTTATCCCAGGGCTGTTTAACTGTTTTTTTAAACTCGGGCTGGCCCCCGCGTTGGTTGGTTGGTTGGTTGGTTGGTTGGTTGGTTGGTTGGTTGGTTGGCTGGTCCCCGGCATCACAGCCTCACTTAGCCTGAACGCAGCCTATTGGCTCTGATTGGGTGGCAGTTGGGAGCTGCTGGAGGCTTAAGTCAGGGGTTTTTTGGCTGGCTTAGATCTGCGTGCGGGTGGGTCTTGGGGTGGTTTGGCGTTGATTCAGGCGAAGCTCTATGAGTGGGTTGGGGTTGGCTTGGAGCTGCTTGTTGTTCGGTGTGCTGCTGGTCTAGCACCGTCTTCAGGGTTGCTTTACGCGTGGTTAAGTGAGTTTAGGTCTCGTTTAGAATCGGTTTTGGAGCGTTGCCCCAACCGCCAAAACTCGCCCACAACTCACTTAACCACACCCTAAAGCAACCCTAAGGCTGCTAAACCAGTAGCGCAAATCAGCCCCAAGCCAACCCAAACCCAGTCAAAGTCAGCCCGAAACCCGATCTAGGCCAAAGCTTCCTGGCTTAAACCAGCCTCCGGCAACTCCCAACTGCCACCCAATCAGAGCCAATAGGCTGCGTTCAGGCAAGTGAGGCTGGTGATGCTGGGGATGTTGCCAGCCCTAGCTAAAAAAAGAAGGACCCGTCTCGGGTCCCGAGAGAAAAGTTTTGACCCGAAGAACCTGAAAAGGTTTGGGAGTGCCGAGCCTGCAAGAGACCGGCCGTGCTCAATGTGGGGCACTTGATGGGCCATTCAGACAGCAGCCATCCCTTAAGGTGCGGTGTCCTCGGTGAAAGCGTGTTTGGCGCATTGTCGAGTTGTGCCCATCTGGTTTGAGGGTTTTCAATTTTGCCCGCGTCGAAGCCACTTTTTGCGACGGACTGGCGCCCCCAAACTCATAAATCCTGTTTTTTCCTCAGGACACGATGGGATTATCTTTGAGGAGTCTTTTCCTTCCATTTTACTGGGCAATTTGCACATTCCGTCTTTGGTTTCAATGACTAATGCAAGTTCGCCTGGGGCTGTAAGCAAAGTGAATCTTAATTGATGGCTCTGGCGCAAGCAAAGTGATTCAGACCAGGCCTGGCCGTTGAACTGAAAAAACCAGAACCAAGCTGAAATCAGCGGAATGCATCGATTTTCATCCAATTTAACCTAAAAAGGCGAGACTTCTCCAAACCGGTGCTGAGGATCCTCAATGTGTTCAGCGTCACGGTGCTTTTGTCGCTGGTCCTGGCCTCATTCCTTTGGCAGGCGCCCGGCGCCTTGAAAGCAGACACCTTCGCGTGTCTACCCTTTTGCGCAGGGTTTTCCAAAGAAAAGCCACCTATGTTTTGGGTTTCCCCCATGTTGATGTCTGCCAAAAGGGCCCGTAGTTATAGATCATATTTATGGGCTTGTCTCCCAAGAAGAGAGCCCTCACAATGGGCGGTTTCCCTCTCAACAGCCCAAAGCACGGGTACATCCACATCAGCCACAGTCAAGATGTGCGAAAGTTGGCAGAACCAACTTGTGAAACCCAGCGCAAGTCCTGCCTTGACAGGTCTTTCCGGACAGTGGCGCTGGCTATGCCGCTTGGTTGGAGTGGCACGCAACCAGTGGATTTGTTCGTTTTTCTTTTTTATTTTTTTCCTTTGTTCAATGTTGCTTTACATGTGCAAGGGACATCCTCACCGGCATATGGTTGTTTGTTCATTTTTGTTAGTTTCTCCAATTTTCTTGCTTCTGCGTTCCAGGGTGTCGGGTTCGCCTTGGGGTGGTGGTTGTCTGCGTATTTTCTGCACTTGTTTGACTCGTTTGGTTGACATACATGGTATCCTTTTTCTTTGTCCAAATCAGAACGGTCGGACGAATATAACATCCAAGGCTAACGATATGATATGTTATCATTGATGTACTATCAATGAAGGCCCCTGTTGATGTTAAGGGCTATGTCTCCCCTGCAAACCAGCCTTGAACTCGAAGAGTGTGTCCCTTGGATCCAGGTTTTGTTGGGTTCCAGATGTTTTGTTCTCTGAAAGAGCACCTTAGGATTGAACTCAGGACATGTCCCGGGGTCCCGACTACCGGCCCCTGGCGGGCTCTGCGGCGTGCGCGGTCTTCGCCGGCCTCACAGCTCTGCTCTGCCTGAAGCGCCCTGGCCGAGAGCTCGAGAGCTCGGGGCTTGGACCAGCTGTGTTTTGAGGCGCAGTGAAAGTACTGGCTTGAGGAGCTGGAGGGAAAACCAAAAGGAATCTAAAAGGAAATCACTTTCGACCAGGTTGTTTTTCGAACTGTTGCCCTCGTGCCAGGAATTTCTTTGTTTGAGCATTTTTAATTGTATAGTTTGCCAGCGACATGACATATACACGTAATGACCACATTTTGGCTCAAGTCAACTGTTCTCTCACCTAGCTTAGGTTTAGCTCTAGCCAGGTACAAAGGGTCGCGGAGCGACTCATGGCAATGTATCCCAACAGCAATGGTTGTACTGTCCCGCAACACCCATGCTAAAATACCGAATAGGTACCGCAGCAGAGCAATCAGCTCGATATGTCATGCGGCTTCCCTTCGATTCTCAGGTTATCGGCCGTAGAGTTTGCCCACGTGCGGGTTGGTTTGAAGTGAGAGGGTCTCCCCCAAGTCCGGGCCCCTTCGGGGACTCAAAGAACACGAGTGAATCGCTTGATGAAGACTTGCGGTAAGACTGAGGGACGTCTTAGTGAAGCCGCGGAGTACTACGATGAAGTAAGGGCTATGCTGAATGAGTCTTTGTCCCTCGAATCCAAAGCACAAGTCCTGGAATCTGACGAGACTGGTAGCCTTCCGTGGATCTTGGGGTTGGAAAGTGTGAACGGTGTTGCGGCCCCGACGTGCCATTTTGGCTCAAGTCCACGTATCGTAGAGGAGGAACTTGTGTAGTTATGCGCACGGTATTTTGCACAAAGAAAACTAGATCGTCCCTTGCGGTTCTTTGTGTTCATACAGGGATAGGTGGCAAGTGGGGGTGGTGCAGGCAATCACCGCTATACAATCAATCACATTCGGTTTTTCCGGTTATCAGCCACCAGCTGTGAGATCAAGGACAAATACAGATTTGAGGGGTCTCCGCTTGTCTCAAATTATTGGACCAAATATTCGAGCGAGATTACGGCCGTTTTCGAGACGATGCCCGGCGAAAACTACTCAATTACATTTGCCTGATGGGCTGCGGCCCCTGCGATTGGTATGTCCTCACAACACGCCGGAGTCAACCGGACATGGAAGTGGGGACACCCTTGTGATCAGTGTCGGAGACCGTCTGAGGCTGATGTGGGCCAGGCTATGGTTGCGCCGCTCCCAGCAGGGACATCTGGAAGGGGGACAGATCTTCGTCCCCAAGGGACTGAATGCGCTACCATGGAATCTACGACCCGAGCGGACCGACGAGGCAGGATGTATATGCGCAAGTGGCTCACGTTCATGGGAAGATGAAGGACGAGCACGACCTTGCGGTTGAGCTATTGAAGTTCGTGCGTTTTCCATGAGTCACGAAGCCCGCAAAAACCGAGAGCCACGAGGCTTGGGCATCGCTACATCAGGCGATCAGTGCCACGAAGGAGCTCGAATCCCGGGTGAGCATGGAAGTGGGTGCAAGAGGATGTCTTGACGGAGCAGTGGAGTCGCGTAGGGGGAAATTGCGATCCGATGAGACCAACATGCTGACCAGGATGAAGGGCGCCGAGACGTATCGTAGCAACGTGGTGTCGAACAAGGACGCATAGTACAAGCTTTGAGATCGCAGGTGGAAGAAATATCTGAGTCAAGATGCAGAGAGGATTGGTGCAAGGGTACCCGCTAAGAACGAAGTCGACGCTGCAAAGCTGGCCGTGAACAGATATTGGACAACCAGATCCGAGATTGAAGTGGTCAGGCGACAACTGAATCGCGAGGACATCATCCTTGAAGCTGAAGGAGGCAAAGAAGAGCACAGATGGCAATCCAGTGGGCCGAGCAACAGGCGGAGAGTACATCCCAAAATCAATTTAGCTCTCTTCAACATCAGTTTGCGTCGATGAGAGAGCACAATGACCGACTTCACGAGAAGAACGTGGAGTCATTGGAGCCAGAGTGTCTCCAACTGAAGGAGAGGGGAGAAAGATTGAGGATGGAGCGAAGGAAGCCTTCATGAAAGCCAAGCAAGCGGACGCAATAGTTCAGATCAAGGAGACGATGAAGACCTCCAAAACACATGTCATCTTTGGAGCGAGCGGAATGAATTGCGGACCGAGTTGGGGGATGTACGGCGAGCTTCTGAAGGAGCACCAAGGGGACAACCCTAACCTTGTGCTGGGATTGGTTCTGGGTCACAAAGCGGATCACCTTTACCTTCAATGACGCCAGTTCTTCTGACAAGGTCAGCTGGACACGGGCACCAAGGCCTGCAGGAAAGAAGCTGAGTCCATCTACCAACCATCGTGGCCGAAGAGGACATGTGGAAGGAGAAGCAACAACCCAATGTACTTGCTGCGTGTGCTGATCCGGATCATGAGGCATGGTCAACGTGGTTGTTCAAGGCCTTCAGCCTGAGCGCAAACCCGGAGATGCTAGGACAGCGGCGGATCAAGATTGGTTGGGATTAGTCTGGAGACGCGGCTACTGAAGTATCCATAGAGATGCAGCAATTGTAAAGACTGGGGCCAAGGGGAGACAGATCATTTTCATGATATTGGAGAGCTTCCGAACCTATATCTGGTGGGACCTGGCCGCATTCCCCGCCCGGAGCACACGTTCACTTCTGACCAGCACCAACAAGGGATGCACACGCGCAAGTTTGCGCCAAGATCAGCGAGAGGTGTGTTCGCTGGCTACGGACTCGATGCTTGTGTGGGTGGGAACTCGACAAATTCCTCGACGACCATCGGTCGCAAAACTGTGTCAATGAGCTTGAGAAGGCCTCGCATAGTGGACAAAGTGATGATGGTTTCGCCATTAGCGTTCCCGCTCAAAAGCACCTGTGAAGAGGCGAGCGGACTTCGGGAGGGAATGATTGACGCATCTTGGGGAAAAGGAAACCCGTGAGGCTCTACAAGATATATCCGGAAACGATGACGGCGATGGAGGCGGATGTGATGACGACCCCGGCGGGGATGATCCCAGCGCGGGGGGTGGAAAGACCAGAGACAAAGCAAAATAGAATCCACGAACGATTTGGAAGTGATGACAAGGTCGGGGACATAGACGACACCACGCCGGCTGGACCCAAGGACCCAACAACTTCTTCCAAATACAAGAAGAAGCCTCCTGAGAGCAACACACCTTTGCACAAACGGGCAAAGGGCGAAATCCCAATGCCTACTGGGCTAGAACCCGGGTATTACCGATGGAGCCGGCGAGACGAGAAGGCAAGGGAGGACCCAAATGGAAAGAGGTTGTCGGATCACTACGGTAGACAGCGAGACTGCTGAAGTGCTCGGGTGTATCATCATCGATCCCGCAAAGTGGGAGGGTTTGTACAGATGACTGCAACAGTCATCAAGGGCGGAAAGAAATTGCGGTTGATACCTACATGTGGTACAGGATGCCGGGAGAGGAGCCCGTCATGACGAAGGCAGAAGAGTAAAGCTTGATGCGAGGAAAGCCGTACGAAGTCGGGATAGATGGAAGGAGAGCGTGTAAATGCTCCAGGCCAACAAACATATCACCGAAGATGTCTCACACGGATCGCATGCTTTGGGAACATGTGACTGTTGAAGTTGAGCGGGGCATTGCTGAAGGACAGGAGAGGGTCTCTCATCAAGGCAGAGAGAGAGAGAGAGGCCACGGCAAAGAAGGCGGCGGCGAAGAAACCAGAGATGACAAAGATGCTGCCGCGGCCAAGGCCTGTGCAAAAGACGCCGAGAAGTTGCGCAAACCAGTCCTGAAGAGCTTACGACGAAGTGACAGTGCAAGGGATAGATGAATCTAGAAGAAGTTGGTTTTCGATCCCTTGAAGAAAAGTTGGGAACTGGAGCGCGGGTTCGACGTTCGGTCAACAAATGGATTTGCGATGATCGCCTGGAGTGGCGCAAGCTGACCAAGAATGCAAAGATCAATGACACGAAGGTCGTGCTGAGTCTGCCCAAGTTTGACAGAATCTTGGCTAGCAAAACTCTGGGGTCCGGCGCGTCCGTGTCGGAGGACTTAGAGCAAACAAAGAGGGTTGTCAGCGAAGCCGCTGGCCGAATCATCGTTAACTTGTATTGGAAAGAAGTTCCTGCGTCGCAAGCAGCCTCATGCACGAGGTGCGATGATGACGGCTGGATTTGGGACGACTTTGTGGCACTGGCTGAGGCCGGCGCAATAGATGATAAAAATCCTACACTATGGGAAGATGGTGTGTCAGGATGCCGTGGTTCCACACACTGAGAAGTTCTGGAAGAAAGAACGCCGCGCTTTCGCAATCCGACGGTGTCCAGGAGTGGGGAAGAAGGAAATGTTGTGCAACCCAAAGGCCAACAAATGTTGTCGACGTGACAAGTGGTCGTGAGACGGACGATGCGCGAGCTGGCGCGTCGTCGTGAAGAGCTTGTTCATTCTCCAGAGTCCATGGCATAATGGTGGAGATGAACGAGCAATTGCCTGCGGATGACCCAAGACGCAAGAACAAGTATTGGGTTGTTCTGCTGGGAAACCAAGTCAAGGGTCAGGATATGGCAGACGCTATGTTTTGTGACCTTGGCAACAGCACCGCAACCTTCGAAGCGTCTCGTTGGGCGGACTTCCTCGGTGCATGGAGGGCTGGGAAGAGTACAAGTTGCTGATGCAACCCAGGCTTACATCCTTACATCCAGGCTTACATCCAGGCTTACGTTCAAGCACCTGCCTGCGGCCTTGTGCTCGAATCGTGGGGGCGTTCCAGAAAACAGCGGTGGGGCTTGTACCTGTGGGCGCGGAGTGGCCATCCCTGTATGTGCATAAGCGACTCACCCTGATGATGGTGGTATATGTGGATGACTTCTGAAGAAGGGACGGGATCTTCTTGCGCCAGGATTGAGATTGAACCAGAAACTGGGCTTGGTCTTTACTTGGGTTGCACTCAGGTCGAGGGAACTGCTGTCAATGGTGGGGCCAACGTCAGCACGATGACCTATGACATGGAGGAATTTCTCGAGATGTCCGTGCAAAAATGCAA